CGCACCAGAGAGACTCTGCGTGGATTTTTTTTTTTCAACATCGGATGCTAGATAAAAGCGACGCTCCAGCGGGCAAATGCGAAAATTGCGCGAAATATCGATTTTTTTCGCGTGCACACACACACGCGTCTTTCAGCAGCTGAAATCTAAAAATATATCGTCAACGCGGTGAAGTTAGATGTAACGGTGCGCGAAGACGAGATTAAGGGTGTAAGCGGAATGATAAAAAAAAAATGACGATTCCGATCGAGCGTTAAACATTTCTCATGAATTTTTCATTCGTATAAGTGACGTTATTCAGTCGCTATAATTTAGAGGTAAATCGTCGAGCGTCGAGTTAGCGATTTTTTGTTCTCTTTCGTTGAATAGAATAATACTCGACTTTGGTTGAGATGGCTTGTTTATTATGTAATGTACATCATCGGACGCACGATTTTTCCGCGGTTCTCGATAAAAAGTACGATCGATTGGGTACTCGTTATACGAAAGGTAAAAAAAATGTTTAAGAGCTTTTTCGTGAAAGGGATGATTTCCATAAGGATATATATTCCTTGGCCGAAGGCGCTCTCTGCGCGAATGAAAAATTCAAGCGCATAACGAACTTCTTTTTTTAATGAGACGATGAGCCTCGATATATAATATATAAATTTTTTATGTTCCCGTCAGTTCGATTATGCGAATTCAATAAATGGGAATGCATATTATGCATGAGAAATTTATTGTTAAATAACCTATTTTAGATTACAATGTTAATGGACTTTTTTTTCATTAAACGAAGCTTCGCGTACTTCACTTTCAGAGGAAAAAAACGACAATATTCATTCGCCGAGTAGAATAGAGAGGGAAATCTTGAGAAAAAAAAATGATCACAGTTACAGCCGGTTGTACATAAGGTAAGCGGCTATTCATGAAACTGAAAACGGTTAGAAAAGTTAAATGGGAGGAAAGAAGAAGAAGAAGAAGAACGAGCTATTGTAACGCTGGGGTATAAGAGAAAAAAGGAGATTCTGTTCGCTTCTCTATCTCTCTCTTACCTGACAACGTGAGTCCGACGCAATAAAGCAGACAAACGGTTAGGAGCAGAAGTACCTCCCTCATGGCTGTTTGACGAGTTGTTTTCTTCTCTCTCTCTGTCTGTCTGTATCTCTCGTGCAACGACCGCGGGCGAAACTATTTATTTTCTTGAAACACAGAAATGGCAATCAAGCCCCAACGTACGATAGCAATTTTTTCTTTCTTTATTATTATTATTTGCTTCTTTTTTTTTTGTTTCGAAGAACTATTCACTGTCGAACGACGCACAAGTGGCATAAATGCAGCACACGATTTCAACGAACGCACGAACGAGCGGCACAAAATAACCGGTCGCGAGCCGATTCACTGCAGCTCGCACAGCTTCGCGAACGGCGGCATCGTCGTCGTCGTGCGACGCACCTTTCGAAACGCTCCAAAGCCGACTGAGGCGAGCGCGCGAGGCAGAGAGAAACGGCAGCAGCGTCGGACTATATATATATACGAGCCACCACCACCCCCCTCTTACAGCCCCTTCGAAGAGGAAAAGGGGGTGCTTACCGCTGATGCTGCTGCTGCTGCTGGCGCGTTCGAATCGCATTTGCGCATATACGCGCGCGACCGCCTTGCATCGCGGCGATATGTAGCGCTGAGCGCGCGCCCAACGGTTCTTGCGCTTCGCTCGTGTCACATCCGTTTCGGGGAGCGTGTATAGGTATAGGTATATGTATAGGTGTGTAGAAGGACGTTTTGCGTTCATCTAATTTCCGTTGGGTTTTCCGTAAGGCTCGAGACGCGATTGATTCGTTCGATGGGGTGTGCGTAGGCAGGGAGGGCTTCGAATCGTGCTTTGAGAAAAATTTGATGAACGTTTTTAAATAAATATAGGCTGGGCTTGATGTGATTTTACTACATTAATTTTGAAGATTTACGATTAAGGTAGATATCGATGTTATATCTGAATATTTTGTAGCTGAGAGCTCTCGATATTTTCATATACTTTTCTTACGCTGTCGATATTTTGCATTAATTCGGTGTCATGTACACAGTGTTTATAACGGAATGACTGATGATTAAAATTTGGATTGACGAATTTCAATATGAAAGTATTTCACGTCATGGTTTCAGTTAAACTACCCTAAGTTTCAAAAGTTAATTCCAAGCAAAGAATGATTTTTTCGAATCGACGCCGTAGTTTCCTGAACTTTCCGCTTAGCGACGCTACTGCCGTACACTGGAGTAGCTATGCAGACGGTTTCAGATGAAACAAAGGGTCGAGTGGCGAGCCGAGTCTTTTGAGTTTGACTCGTGCAACGGTCAGTCGCATTCGAAACATTGGTGTCAATCGTGCACACGCATACGTAATTTTTATAGGTACTGTCTAACCATTTGTGGAAGTGTTATCAAAGTTACGAACGTTTTCAGTGATAATATACTCTCTCCAAGATTTATCTCAGACGCAAACATGTCAGTTAGGCACGGCCGTTTGAAATTTGATCAAGACAGTAATACTTATACATGGGAAATATCCAAAAATACAATAGTAACGGAAGTGGTTTTATCACCGCCTTTGAAAATCAATAATAATGAAAAAAAATTATTTCGATTGAAACTCTTCAGGACTCTTCTACATCATGTTTGGGCTTTGAATCTTAAGTGCTTAGTGAAACTAAACTCATCATTAACATGCAAATACTGCATAAAAGTTTTAAGACACGGACAATTTGTCAACTGCGAATCCAATGATTGTACGTTTACTCCGAACAATAATGAACATCATATTATGCTCATCATGGGGCATCCAGATCTGTTGACATCCGTGAATTTACAATTTTTTTGCACACTAACAATCATTTCCGAAAATAAAGAAAACTTAAAAAAAAAGAATGTAGAGTCAAGACTCAATTTCGAGTGGATATGTCTTGATAAAAAATTTAGTGATTTAGTGATACGAACTGCATGTGGAAGGGAAGTCCCAGCACATAGGCTTGTACTTGCTACTGCAAGTCCAGTATTTAAAGCTATGTTTAACCATGACATGGTGGAAAACAATAGCCGAGTAGTAAACATGACGGATATTACTCACGAAGTCGCAGTTGAGATGCTGCGATACATTTACACGGGTAGTGTCAAGATTCAAGATTTTTTCTTGGCTGCTGAAGTTTTGGTGGCTGCCGAAAAATACCAACTTGAAGAATTGAAACATAAATGTGAAAAAATATTAGGCTCAAATTTATCTGCTAAAAATGCCATCAGAGCTCTTAAAATGGCAGATACGTATAACGCGAAACATTTGGAGAAAAAAGCAGTTGATTTTATCAAACGTAAGATGAATGAAACATTGCCTTTGAACGAAGTAAAGGATATGCTTATTGGTAAAAATGAAACTGATATGTTGGAAAAGAAAAGTCAATCTATTGATATGAAAGGTTTCAATGGCGAGGCTGCAGACACAAGTGATGCATCGAATTTCAAGAGTTTTCGTCAGTTATTGAATTTATGTTGGAATTTATGGTGATTGACAACATTTTTATACGTTATACTTGTAATGTTTCTTGATAATCTTTATCTTGAAAAGTTTATGTTATTTTTGTACTAAAAATAAATCATCAAAATTTATTCTACCCAATCGTTTTATTGTCAAAAGAGGAAGTATGTGTTTGTTCCAAGAACACAAGACCATAAGAAGCATTTGCTGCTGCCATAACAATATATGCCTTTTTTCTGTTATATTCAATGATCTAAACTCTGTACCATTTCTTAGAAAAATTCAATACGAAATCATTTCATATCTTTATTCAACCATTGAAACAGTTTTTTAAGTTACACCAAAGAAACAATCGATTCCTTGGCTTCGGCCATGCATATGGCATGCAGTCACCCGAGATCTCTGCATGGCCACTCATGGCGCTATCTCGATACGAAGCTTGGCTTTCGATCTGTGCTCGGTATATGTACATACTTGTAGGAACATTATATTCATCATATGAAAATACGAGTCTCAACTCCCGACTTGTACAACAGTCATCAGTCATTCGTAATTGGCAGATTCCTTAGGCTAACTTTACACGTAAGTATCTATTGGCAAACTGTGTGTGCCTGTAAAATGTCAACCCTCAATAAAGCTACATTTTACACATAAATTGATAGACGAGACTGTATATTTACGTGGACAATTAATGATATTAAATTATTTACTATTATGACAACGCATATGCATAAGCGATATATGACTCTTTACTTTTAATATCGTCAGTCATAATTAGGACGTTGTCATTAGTCGTGCTCGCATGCAATCTATTATCGAACATTCTGTGTAACTGAGATAAAAGTTACGAACGAATTGAGAGACTTCCTTCTTTCTTTCCAAGATTTATCCCAGAGTGCAAAATGACAGTAATGCTCGGCCGTTTGCTATTTAATAAAGAAGACAACACCTAAATACGTGGATGATGAATATAGGCAATATTGGCATCGGGAGAGGAAGTGATTTCATCGCCCGAATTCACAGTCGAGAAAAGGTGGAGGAAAATTATTTTAATTGAAATCCTTCAGGAAATCTCCAAAAACGTATGTTCGCCCTTATGTTTTACTCGTGTTAAACTATAGAATATGCCATTTTTTCAAGTTGATTGAAATTTGGAAGCGAATAACTTTTTTTTGAATTGATGCCTGTGATCTGCCAAAATGTCCGCTAGGCGACGCTACTGCCGGACTTGAGTCAGTGTTTGTTTGCAAACGCTCAGATAAAACGAAGAGTCCTTATTCCTTAAGAATCTTACGATCTGTTCGATTCACGAGTCACGACTTATAATCCAGTCTCTCGAGTTTTTCTTCGGCAACGAGCATTGGCAGTCGAGAAAGTGGCGTCAGCCGTGTACCTACGTAAATATACTGTCTAACATTTAGTGCCAGTGTGATCAAAGTCCCGAACGATTTAAATTATAACTGATAATAGACTGTTTCCAAGATTTATCGTAGAGTACAACATGACAGCAATACTCGGTCGTTTGTATCATGAACCACAAAACAACAATTACGTAAAATTTAAGTGGGTGGTATCTGAAAAATTAATAATATCATCAGGAGAGAAAGTGGTTGTATCGCCTGAAATCTTAGTCAGTAATGATAAACAATCAGCGTTTCAATTGAAACTCGTGCAAAAGAACTCTCTAAATGACATTTGGGGGTTACGTCTATGTCGTGTGAATGGAAAATCATTATCATGCAAATGCACCATAGAAGTACTCAAAAATGGACAAATTGCCGACACTCGATCAGATAATTATACGTTTTCTGTGAATAATCGTGAAAAAATTATTTTGGACATAATTGGAATTTCATCCTGGAGTTTGAGTATTGTTTGCCAGTTAAAATTTCCTTCAACAAATACAGGAAACAATGAATCTGCCGATATGGATACCGAGTTGGGTTTAAAATTTAATTTCGAGTGGATTTTTCTCAATAAAAACTTTAGTGATCTTGTGCTACAAACTGCATGTGGAAAAGAAATACCAGCACATAGGCTTGTACTTGCTACTGCCAGTCCAGTATTTCAAGCTATGTTTAGCCATGACATGCTGGAGAACAAAAGCCAATCAGTTGATATGGTCGATATTAGTCATCAAGCAGCAGTTGAAATGCTGCGATACATTTACACGGGTAGTGTTGAAATTCAAGAATTCTCCTTGGCTGCTGATGTTCTGGCGGCTGCTGACAAGTATCAACTTGAAGAGTTGAAAAATAAATGCGAGCGCATATTAGGCTCGAATTTATCCACTGAAAATGCCGTTGAGGCTCTTAAAATTGCTGATACGTATAGCGCGAAAAATTTGGAAAAAGAAGCTGTTGATTTTATCAAGCGTAAAATGAATGAAACATTGCCATTAAATGAAATAAAAGATATGATTCTTGGTAAAGGGCGATTAGTTTCAAAATAATTGAAGAATTCAGGAGAAATACATTCTTTCGTGTTTTAATTTTAATCATTATTCTTTGTTAACCATTCGAACTTAAAGACGTTCTACTATTATTGTACTTTGATCAAAATAAAGATTTCAAACAATATCGTCTAATTTTTTTTACCCGTCTACAATTATGCAGATATGCTGGTTATGTGCGTTGAAACGAGTAAAACGTGTGATTTGAACGCGATGAAAAATTACACCAAGGGCATACACGATGCTAAAAAATAATGATCATTGAGAAAGTGCCCAGTCGATTGATAAAAAGTAATATTTACGATGATCATATTTACGATAATTTTTCAGGACTGTCTCGCGTCGAAATAACAGGAATTTTATAAATATCTGTTCCGCAACGAAATAACAGATAATTAAAATTATTATTGAAAAATTCAATATGAAAATATTCCGCATTTCTACTCACGTTACACTATAAAATGTGTCATTTTTCCAAGTTAAATCTCTGAAACAAATAACTTTTTTAAAATCGACGCCGTTACAGTTTCTCGAAACTTCCACCGAGTCTCGCTACTGTCGTACACTCAAGTCGCGCTGATCGCAGTGCGCTAGGCGTAGTCTGCTGTGCGTTACAAACTGTTTTTAGATAAAAATTACAAAGGGTCTCGATTCGAGTCTCTTGAGTGGTAACTCGTGCAACGGTCAGTTTCAGTCGAACAAAACATTGTGTTTGTGTAAATCTGCTGTCTAACATTTTGTGCGTGTGTGATAAAAGTCTTAAACAACTTAAGTAATAATTGACTTTCCTATATTTATCCCGGAGTGTGCAATATAACATGTCGAGAAGGCGCGGATATTTGCCGCGTAATTAAAATTATAATTGAAAAATTTAATATAAACATATGATACGTTTCTTATACTCGAATGAATCTATAAGATACTTTATTATTATAAGTTAAATCTCGAGAACAAATAATTGTTTTATGCAAACGTTCCGATAAAACACAGGATCCTTTTTGATTAGTTTTAGAACGCACAAGTGACTATTCGAGACTCTCGAGTTCGACTTGGGCAATGTAACGGTCAGTCGCAGTCAAGACATTGACGTCTGCAGTCGTGTACATTATACCTACACGTAGGTAAATCTACTGTCCAACATTTTGTGCAAGTGTGATAAAAGTTTCGAACGACTTGAGTGATCATTTTGACTCTTTCCGAGATTTATCCCTAAGTGCAACATGTCAGTAATGCTCGGTCGTTTATATTTTAATAAAGACGACAACGCGTATACGTGGACAATAAACAGTAATAATAATACATTATTGCTGGGAGCGAAAGAGGTTATATCGCCCGGATTCAAAGTCAGTGATGATGATGAAAAATCATTTCGATTGAAACTCGTGAAGAGGAACTTTCTAGGTGTTTGGGGGCTAAGTCTGCGCCGTCTGAATCCAACGTCGTCATTATCATGCAAATACGTCATAAAAGTACTCAAAAATGAACACATTGTCGACGCCCGATCAGACAATTATACGTTTTTTTTTTAATAATAATGAAAAAATGATTTTGGACATTAATGGAATTTCATCCATTCATTTCAGTATTACTTGCCAATTAACATTTGCTTCGAAACGTAAAGAAAACTTTGTAAAAACTAAGTCTGTTAATAAGAATATACAATTGGGATCAACATTTAATTTCGAGTGGATACTTCTCGATAAAAAATTTAGTGACGTTGTGCTACGAACTGCAAATGGACGAGAAATCGCAGCACATAGGCTTGTATTAGCTACTGCGAGTCCAGTGTTTCAAGCCATGTTTAACCACAACATGTTGGAAAACAAAAGCAAATCGGTGAATATTGCGGATATTAGTCACGAAGCAGCAGTGGAGATGCTGCGATACATTTACACGGGTGGTGTCAAGATTCAAGAATTTTCCTTGGCCGCTGAAGTTTTGGTGGCTGCTGAAAAATACCAACTTGAAGAATTGAAAAACGAGTGCGAACAGATATTAATTTCCCACTTATTCACTGCAAATGCCATTGAAGCTCTTCAAGTGGCCGATACATACAACGCGAAACATTTGGAAAAAGAAGCAGTAGACTTTGTCAAGCGTAAAATAAACGAAACATTGCCTTTGAACGAAGTTAAGGATATGCTTCTTTGCAAAGCTCGGCTATTTTTGAAATAATTTGAAAATCGCCAGGAATAAACTCTTTCATGTTTTAATCATACATTCTTTTACCTTTCGAACTTGAAAATTATGTGATATTATTGTACTTTAATCAAAATAAAAATTCAATTGAAATCATTAAAAAAAATTGTTTAATCCATCGATCATGATTGAACCATACAGAATAATTGTGTGCATAAACGAGTAAAATGTGCGATTTTAACGTGGTGTGAAACTACAGTTACGAGCTCATAAAATTTAACTGTAATCGAACGAAAAAATATTTATTGTGTCAAGTTACTTTTGCTTTTCTACATAGAGTCTAAACTGCTTGTAATTCTATGGTAAATAAAAAATCATAATTCAATGTACGATCCTAAAAAAAATGATTACTGAAAAAATAACTAAAAAGCATCAATTGATTGATGAACAGTAAATATGATTACGGCGATTATCGAAGAAATGATTTTGATGGATTATCTCAATCTGTAAGTATCAACGAGTTTTATTCGTTACGAATTAATATTAATTATACGAATTAATATTAATATTAGATATTAATTATTTCGTGTCTTTTTGGCAAATTCAACCGTCAAAAATGTTTTTTTTTAATATACCCAAAAAATTAATGATTCCTTAGAATTGACTGTAAAGTCTCCCCAGCTTTGTTCTGCTATAGCGACGCTTTGGAGGCCACTCGGGATTCGCAAGCTACTATCGTAAGGCGTTTGAAACATGAGATCCATTTTATCAGTTTTAGAACGCATAATGTGTAACGATACGAGTCTCGACTTGAGCATCTGTCAGTACGACTCGGCATTTTGTCGCGTCCGCATGTGCCTATATGCAACAGTTGGCGCGAGTGCGATAAACGTCCCAGACGATTCGAGTGGTAGTTGAATTGTATTGAGATTTTTCTCGAAGTGTATTATGTCGCTCTACAATGCAGTTGGGTATATGCAATTCAATAAAGAGCATAATACTTTTACGTGGAAAATAAGCAATTACAAAAGTATTTCGAAAAAAGGAATCATAAATTCTCCCATATTTTATGTCAATACGGATGACAAACGAATGTTTCAATTGCAGCTCGGCAAACAAAAAGCTCTTCATCCTGTGTACATAAGTAGAAAGTATTTGTTAATATTCGTCGGAAATTCGAGTCAAGAATTGGTATGCAAATACAAAATTTCAATAATCAAGAATAACAAAATTTTTAAAACCCAAACAGGTCAAAATACATTCTCTAAGAATTATAACGCAAAAGTGGTTTTCGATATTGGCTCATCAGATTTTCGTAAATTTATTTCATCCGATGGTACTTTAGGTTTTTGCTGTGAATTATCAGTCACCACGGGAGATCAATTGAATATGAATAAAGTGATGGTACCAAATTTAAAATTCGACTGGGTGTTTTTGGATGAAAATTTGAGTGATATCAAACTGCGGACTGCGTCTGGGAAGGAAATTCCTGCACATAAACTCATGCTAGCAACTGCCAGTCCAGTGTTCAAAGCAATGTTTACCCTCGATATGTTGGAGAAGAAAAGTCAATCGGTAAACATGATCGATATCAGTTATGAAGCTGCGATTGAGATGCTACGATACATCTACACGGGTAGCATTGAAAATGGTGAATATTCATTGGCTATTGAACTTTTGCTGGCCGGTGACAAGTATCAGCTCGAAGGGTTGAAAAATAAGTGCGAGAAAATATTGAGCTTGGAGCTATCCTCGGAAAATGCTGTAGATATTTTGAAAGTTGCCGATAAATGTAACATGTCGAGTTTGAAAAAAAATGCAGTCGATTTTATCAAACAGTACATGAGCGTATCTTCCGACTCTAATGATGTAGGTAATATGATCCTCAGCATGGAACGACTTTTTGCTAAATAATCTGAAACATGTGCATAAATACATTTTCTCGATTTTATTTTACGTATAATTGTTTTATTTATCATCTCAACTCGCAAATGATTTGTTATTTTTTTAGTACTAAAAATAAATTGTTAATGTCTACTCTACACAATCGTTTCATTATTTAATTCATTACAATATGTGAACATATTATTCATTCAGAAAGTTAGGAATGTCTATGCCTCAACGAATGTATGTGTAAATACGTGTGTGTCTGTGTGTGTGTGCGTGTGTGTGTGTGGGTGTGTTTATACTATGAGTTATTTAAAACGTGATAAAAAACTGTAGACATGAGCTCTTTTAACTTTACTGTGTGAATCAAACAAAGTAACGTAAACTTTTTTCGTCTATATAAAATCAACTCAACTCAGATCTCTATGGTAAATAAAAAAATATGATTGAATAAATTTAGTTCAGTAATAAAAATTTATTCATACAATGACTACAAAGTATCAATTCATTGATGAAAAGTCATGTGTCGATCGTGCCTAAGCAACGATGCTTTTTCAAGACTGCCTCGCGTACAGAAGCATAATTCATGCTGATGAAGGAATTTTATACAAGTATCTCTTTTGCCGAGTCTCGGTGTGGGTGTGAGTAATATAGGCTTAGCTCGAATAAGTCATCACACATTTTTGAAGAATTTTACCGCAGCAGTGATTTTCAAAATTGCCTCACCGAATTTTCGTAAATTCATTTCATCCGCGGGTACTTAAATTTTTATAATGGGTTCAGTAAAATTATTGTTCATTTACGTTTTTGTGGAAAAATTGAAAACAAAACTATTTCACGTTTTTTTTTTCAACAAATGAGACGATCGAAAATTGTAGTAGTATTATTATGATTTTTTTCGTAAATCCCAAGAAACAAATCGTCGTCAAAGTCATTTGTAAATAATACGGACTGATAGTTTTTTTGCTTCTCGTGCGTTCAAAAAAATTCCTCTCTGCACTGGGGCGACGAAACTCTCACTATTTAATGACAGCGTCTTATAAGAACTGGAGGATAGAGTAAAATCAGCCAAATCCTATTTTTCTAGGTCTTGAGTTTGTTAAATTAACATTTTGTTTAAAGCCACTGAGGTCATACGTGGTTGGGAGAGGGAGGCTGCAGTACTCAAGTTATATGATACTTTACTCCGCAGTCAGCAGGCGGCAGACACATCGATGAAACAAAGAAGCCTCATCTCGCTCAGTTTTAGAACGCATACCTATTACGTATTGGCCAACAGTTTGTGCGTGTGATCAAAATTTCGAGCAAATTGCGGGATTTTTCGATAGTGCGATATGTCAAACGACATGAATGAAATCGTAGGCTTTACGCAAACTTTTTCAGAAAACTGCGATTTTACGTGGGTGATGAGAAATTTTACATTATTACGAGGTATTATACAAGGAAATATAAAATCACCAACATTTAAAATCGGTAGTGATGATCAAAAACACTTTCAATTGGAATTCAGGGAAATCACCGGCTATAGAAGTCTTGTTTATACTTGCATAAGGCAAGCATTTTTAAAACTAAACTGCTTAAATAATAACGATGATAACTTAACATGCAATTATAAAATATCAGTAATCTAAGATGACCAAATTGTTTACACCAAATCGAATTATATTAAACAAACAAAAAATAAACTTTCCATTTTCATAGTTTCTCCAGAAGATGTGGAACAATTCATTTCATCCACGAATAGCGTAACTTTTCGTTTCGAATTATCAGTTTTTATCGGAGATCGAAAAAGCGATACATGCAACGAATCCGTCGATACGAATGAGGAACCAAAACTAGAATTCGATTGGATATTTATGAATGAAAAATTAAGTGATGTTATTCTACGAACTGCATCTGGTAACACAATTCCAGCACATAAACTGATGCTCGCTACTGCAAGTCCAGTATTCAAAGCCATGTTCAGTCATGACACATTAGAAAACAAAAGTCAATCAGTGAATATGGTCGATGTTGATCATGAAATAGCAGTTGAGATGTTGCGATACATCTACAAAGGAAAAGTTGAAAATTATGAAATTCCCGTAATTATTGATCTTTTGATTGCTGCTGACAAATATCAAATAGAAGAATTGAAAAATAAGTGCGGACAATTATTAAACATCAATTTATCTACTGAAAATGCTATAGATATTTTAAAAGTTGCCGATAAATGTCACGTGAAAAGTTTGAAGAAAAAAACAGTTGATTTTATAAAACAGCATATCAGCTCATCTTCGGACTCTGATGATGTAGGTAATGTGATTCTCAGTATGGTTCAATATAACTACTGAAATAATTTGAAAACTTGTATTAACACCCGTCTACATTTCCATTTTAATTGTATTTGTTTGCTTATAACATTTTTATATTTTTCTAACACTTTTATATTTTTGTGCCAAAAATAAATTTTCAAAATCTTTTTTATTCAATTGTTTTGTCATTCAATTTATTACAATATACAATATTTATTGAGAAAGTTGGACATACGTTCCTCAATGACGTTGGATCATCTACCATTCGCTAGAAAAATTCATTACAAAATCAATTCATATGCATGCTTTAAAATTAAACCATCAAAACTATCCTTTTGCTACGACCATGTAAGTCCTATATTAGCATGCAGCAACACCGAGTTCTCCGCTTAGCAACTCACAGTCACCTGTCAGTTATCTCGAAGCTCGCGAGTCTCTGAGCCAGAAGCAAATAGAGTGACTTTCAGGCTATGCGTGTACATGTTTATTTGAAAATACTAGTCTCGACTTGTCACTTGCATAACAGTCATTCGTCGTCTGCACATTCTTGTGGTTTTATACAAATCTATTGATTAACGGTGTGATAGTGTAAAACATATCAACCTTCAATGAAGCTAAATGTTATACGCAAATCGATAGGCAAGACTGTGTATTTATGTGGACAATTAATGATATCGAATTATTAAATAATATCCAAGAAGGTCAACATGTCGATTCACAGATATTTAGTGCCAAATCGGACGGACAATTTTACTTTCGAATAAGCGCTAAATGACTACCGTCAAGAACGAGCGATGGAACTTTGAGTTTGGTCAGAAGCTTACATTTATGCAGCAAAAACATTGTGAACCATCTTAATTGTTTTTACAAGGGATCAGTAAGTGTAGATGGCAAAATTGCTTTCTCATTTGGTAAAGAGACATATTTAAATGCAAATGAAGAAACCAGCTTTAAATTAGCAACAAGTTATCCTCGACAAAATGTTCTTTGGAAGGGTGATGTAACAATTATTCGATGCGAACTAACATTGTCCAAAGGATTTCCAACGTCATATCTAGACCCTGCATCGACAGCCAATATAAACAAAGAGTCTGTGTCTAAATTAAAATTTGACTGGATATTTCTTGATGAAAATTTGAGTGATGTCAAGATAGGAACTGCAGGTGGAAAGGAAATTCCAGCACATAGACTCATGCTTGCTGCTGCCAGTCCAGTTTTCAGAGCCATGTTCAGCCATGATATGATGGAAAACAAAATCCAAATAGTTGATATGATAGATGTTGGTCATGAAGTGGCAATTGAGGTGCTAAGATACATCTACACTAGTAATGTTGACAATCGTGACATACGCTTCTTTGCAGAGCAGCCACGCTAAAAAGCATAGTCAGTGTACTCTCGGCGGTCGAGTCACTGTATTGCGATTTAGTGCTGCAGCCACGCGGCACTGACAGTCACTTTGCTTTTACTCTCTCAGTATAGAATCATACTAGTCGGTTAGTTCTTTTCAGTAGGTAAAAAAAGTTCTTTATTAGTTACCTATCTATAGAGATTAAGGGATACCTTAATAGTACTAAACGGGATTATAAGTACGGAAAATAATTATTAACGCCAATGCTCGAATGAATTCTTTCAAAAGCATTGTTTATAACTGGTTCATTTTTTTTCGATAATTTTTTATATTTTTTTCATTTTTTTCGCAGTTAACCAATATTTTTTTCATAGTTGTGGAGGCCCCCGTTTTGTGGGGGCCCCTAGGCCGTGCCTAGTTGGCCTAGTCTATAACCCGGCACTTGACAGGGAGCTTCAGTATTGGGTACCAAGAGACCGCAAAAAAATTTTGGAGCAAATCCATGATCCGCACCTGAAAAGCTCTCCTTGTGAGTGTTAGCGCAGTAACATGGGTTAAGTTAGCTGGCTTGTCGTCTGCTAGCCCTAAAACGAGCCGAAAAAGTTATCTTTTCGCGTCTTTTATTAAAAAAATATTGAAAAAACGGCAGGCTACCTCTACTTGGAGACACGGTTTTTGAAAGGTAAGAACTTTCTCTACAATTTGTATATAATCATTCCCCTGCGAACTTCGATTTATTTTCATAAATTGTAAATGTAGCTCAAATTTTCATGCATTTCTATGTTGCCCATGTTAATTTGCGAAACTTTGATCGCCTTTTTCTCGAGATTTTGCCTGGCTTGGGCATATAAGAGCCATTGGATTCGGGAGGTCAAAATCTATCGATATTGATATATGTACTTCTTGCGAATTTTGCAAGGGAACCTCCTTGAGTCTTTATATCAATTTTTATAACGAGCCTCAAAATTGTCCCTACGTCGCGATTTAATGTTTATCGAACGCACGATCCACGCGAATATTCAACCTCGCCCATCGCGATAAAAAAAAAGAAGCCTCCAACTAGCGCGTCTCATATTATCGAGAGAAGGTCGAAAGCAACTTGAAGACGCATTAAATACACATGCGGTATCTACACACGTTTATTATATAAGTATACTACATCAAAGGAGGTTGGAAGGCCTTGGAAAAGTCGCACGGAGAAGATAATCTAGCGGATATTTTCGCAAACCCCTGGCGCTGGCGCGCGCCGCATCCTTCCTATGTCTATCCGTCTGCTCCTCCATGCTCCCCGCGCCGAGAGCTCGCTCTCGAGTATAGTATAGTATAGTATTCGTCTTCCGGCTCGCGTTTCCCGCACTCATGATGCCTTAGCGACGCACACGCGA